ATATGTAATAATTTAGTACATGATAAATGTAGCATTTCCAATAAGAGGGAGAAAGAGTACATTTCTCAGTAAATGAGATTGGGACCATCAAAAATTCATGAAAAAAATTGGCTCTCTTTTTTCTCCCCACATACAGAAAATAATTCTAGATGGTATAAAAAGCTAAACTAACCCCTCCCCCCTAAACAAAACAAAACAAAACAAAAAATTTTAAAATATTTGAAGAAAATATAAATGAATATTTTATTAATCTCAGAAGTAGCAACGGAAGCCACAAAGAAGACATTTGTTGTAATTGCATAAAAATAAAAACTTTTGTACAAAAAGATATCACAAACAAAATTAAAAGACAAAGGGTTAATAGCCACAGAATAGAGAGAGTTTCTATAAAAGAACAAGTAAAAGACAAACAACCTAATAAGAAAACTAGACACAGAATGGGAATAGGCAAAAATAAAGAAGACACAAACTTGACTAGTATTCATAGAACTAAAAGTTATCAATGAGATGTTCTTCTAATATCAGATTAATAGAAATTTGGAAAGATTTAAAATAGTCTTCATTACTGGGGTGGGGGACATTTTTTGGTGGAGTGTAAGCCCCATCCTGAGGACAGCAATGTGGCAGAGGCAATCAAACGTTCAGTGCGAAATCACCTAACCCAGGCACACACTTGCACGTTTGCCCAAGGAGGCATGTGGAAGGGTGGTATTTTGCAACATTATATGAGGGGAAATTTAGAAACACCTGAAATGCCCATTCACAGGCATATCCCTGCCATGGAATATGATACAACACTGAAAAGAATGAGGGATGTATGGGCATAGAGAGGGCTGCCAGATAGAGGAGAAAGTGTAGATTGCCATATCACACGCACAGCATGATACCATGTGATACCATTCCACAGGCATGTAGAAGCAAAGACAGAGGTCTGTAAGAAACAGGTACCACTAATTGTGCATGTGTATCCTCTCAGTAGGAAGTTCGATGAACCAGGGAGGAGATTGGTGAAGGAGAACTTCTTTTTTCTCTGCCTTGTATGTTGCTCAACACTCATACATGAGTGTGTTTGTATATTACTTGCATATTTAAAAAACAAATAAGGAAAATAACATCCACAGACTGGAATGTGGGATTTCACAGTGGCTTGGACATCCAAATGAGTGATGCTGTCATTCTGCTATACATTCACTCATCCATTTAGTAAATTTTTTGGGTGCTTACTATGTGCCTGACAGAGAAACTAGAGAAATCGGATCTCTAAAACAATTTCAGTCAATGCTCTGGTTAGTATTAGTCAGTTTGGCTGCTGTAACAAAATACTGTAGACTGGGTGGCTTAACGGAAATTTATTTTCTCACAGTGCTGGAGGCTGGAAAGTCTGACATCATGGTTGGATTCTGGTGAGAGTTATCTTCCTGGCTTGCGGATGGCTACCTTCTTTCCGTCCCTTCACATAGTGGGGGGAGGAAGGGATGGAGGAAGGAAGAGAGAGACAGAGAGAAAGGTATCTCAAGAGAGCTCTTCATTTTCTTATAAGGACACTAATTCCATCGTGGGGGTCCTACCCTCATGATCTCTCAAAGGCCCACTTCCAAAGACCATCACATTGGGGTTTAGGGCTTCAATATATAAATTTGGGGATGGGCACATTCAGTCCATAATAATACTATGCCCCATATGATGTTAAAAATAACAGACCGCAAAGTATAATAGATGTAAAATTACATAGCTAGATCACCACATGCAGGATGCAGAGGAAATTGAACTCTGGATACCATCTTACCCACTTTGAGAGTATAAAATGGTGAGGAAATGAAGAGGGAAAATAGATCAGCAAAGAGCTTTCTCTGGAGAGAGCTGTTACAGTGTGTGTGTGTGTGTGTGTGTGTGTGTGTGTGTTGGTAAAAGACACACAAGGCAGATAGAGAGATCAGCCACCCCCTCCCTTCCCACTGCAGCTTCCAGCCTAAAGCGAAGTGGAGCTGGGGGGTGGGGGAGAGGCATGCTCTTAAATCAGGTTGAGTTATTATACAGAAATGAGCATTCAGGTTACAGAATTAGGACTGTGTGTGTCACTTCAGGTGACTTAGTGTGTCAACCACCCAAGAGTGAACTGAAAAGTTATGGACCTGTGGGAGTTTTTATTCAGTGGAAGAGGGAGACTACCCAAGTGGAACCAGGTTTAAAGAGATAATGAGAGACGAAAATAACACTGTGCTTTGATTATATCAGAAGTCATGCGTAGTCAATATACCGGTTACATATAATTGCTCATCAAGCAAGAGGCAAAACATTAGAGTCAGTGAGAAGGGAGGGTGATGTGTGGTGCCAGGCTACACACAGGATACCTGTGGCTTTTCATGTAAATGTGATTCTTGAGCAAGCCAGGAGTCTGCTCCCCTGATGTACCCCTAGCAGATGCCAAAGGTTTACTATGACACACTTTGGAAGATTTTCCCCAGAAAACTATCCAGTTAAAATGATCTCTTGGCACCTAAAGGATTAGCCTCCATTTATCAAGAAAATGGAGCTGTCTGGTTGGAATTTATTGCTAGTATTTTGAGACTCTGCTAAACCATTGTAGTCTCTGGAGATTGACGAAAGCCTCGCTGAAGGCATGCAGAAAGCATCTAGAAGATTTGCCAGCCCTGTTGACTGGGGGGAAAACATCTCCTGGCAGTCACTTCCATTCTTCCTCCTTCAAGATCCAGCTCAAATGTCACCTTTGTGAAGATTTCCCCATTTCTATGTCAATACTTCTTTCTCTGGGTTCCAGTTGAATGGTCTACATAGCTGTTATGGCACTTGTATTGCACGGCCCATATTTATTTGTTTATCTGCCTCTCCCCCAAGATCTTCAGCTTCCTGAAAGTAAGAAATACTGGATTTCATCAGTTTTAAGATACACATCTCCCCTCCACATTTTTACAATTCTGAAATTAGGATAACTTTTGATGGCATGTCATTGTTTAATTGGCAATATCTTTTTTCAGTGGTACGTACATTTTTTTTCCAGTTGTACATAAAATAATGGTACATCTCACAATAGATGCTTGACTTAGTTAATGAAATATGGCCCATCTAATTTACCTGTGTATCCTTAAACAGCTAGTACATGGTCTATGATACAGTAGGTGCTCCATAAGTACATGGAACTAACCTGGTGTGGGTTTCACCAGCAGGTGCCACTGACCTGAGTAATTCTGGCGTTGGAGAGCAAAGCAATCGGTGGTCGAGGTCGGGACTGCAAGCAACTTCCAAAATGTTGAAAGGTAACCCAAACTTCTGTAATGACGAGATCCCCAAACTGCATAGTGGCTCAAACTCAGGAGAAATCTATGCCTTGCTAACATGAACTGTCCAGAACAGGTGCTCCTTTATAGTAGTGTCTGTCCTCAGCATGATGCTTCAGGGATACAGGCTCATCATCCCTCAGGGCTCCTCACTACCTTCCCAGCCAGGCACAAAGGTAAAGTGGGCCTACCTTCTGCACACTCACTTTTAAAGTCTTGGTCTGGAAATGGTTCCTATCACTTCTGCTCATATTCAATTGGTGGAATTCATCTTGTACCGCATGTAGATGCAAGAGAAGAGAAGGGGCTGGGAAATGTAATCCTTAGCTGGGCACCCACTTCCCAGTAGCAACCCTATGTGATGGAGTGGGAGTATATATTTTGGTGGGCAGCTAGTATTCTCTACCACAGGGAGCCACTGGGCTCTTGTCTATATCAGGCAGGGTTGTCTGCCTTTTGTTGCAAGTTTAATTTTGGCTTCTGACTCCACTGTATTTACCAATAACTTTTTTAAGTGCAAGAGACAGAAACCCAACTCTGGCCAGTTTTGGTAGAAATGAAAACACTTTGGTTAGGTGTAGTTAGACCCAGGAGCTCAAATAATGTCAATCATCTTTCTCTCCTCTCTGCTTTTCACTATACTGGTCTTAATTCAGACAGAAACTCTCCACATGATGGGAAGAAGAAAGTTGCCTTACTAGGTCCTTTCAGCTCACGCCTTAGGAGAAAAAAGAAAGCACTTTCTCACAGATTTCTATCAGTATCCCCCCCAAAGGACCATGTTTGGCCCTAAACAGGTCATATGACCACTCTTTGGCCAATTACCGTGACTAGAGCAGTGGCACGTTCTGAGTGGAGAGTTTAACAGATCCGCCAGAATCACCTGGAATAAGTGGGGGCATGATGGAAGGAGAAGGGGCAGTTCTTAACAGGAAGGGATGAAAAACAAACAAAAAGTGAAAGTTGTCCACTATTTCCGGCACCACTCCAGTTTCATCTCCAGCCATTCCTGACTTGCAGCCACCCCAAATTGATGCTGCTTCCCCAAATATACCAGACCTCTTCAAGATTCCATGCTGCACCCCCATTCTGAAATGACCTCTCTCAGGCTTTCCTCTTACTTACCCATCAAGACCAGCTCACAGTCATCTTTTTTGACACCCCACTTTCACCCCAGCCAGCCTGGTTACAACCACCAAACAGGATTTGCATTCGAATTGACAGCTTTGTGCCTACATCTGAGGCCCAAACAAAAGTGGGCTCTGTGGTCCTGCCATGCTGGTCACACCTGCATTTGGGATCAGCCTGTACCATGCTGTGTCGGCTGAGGTATAACATGCCATCTTGTCTAAAGCAAACACCAGTGCCAGGGAGATTCTCATGCCAGTCACACAGGGACTGAGTGGGGGAGAGGGCTGCAAGGAACTGGCTGCCCACAAAGCTCCAATTAGCCCCCAAATTATCTCCTGTGTCACGTGCGCAAGGATTTCTAACCAAAATTTGCTGGAAAATGGATTCTCAATGCTTCTGTCTATTTACCTAATACTTAACCCAAGGATAACAACACACACACAAATTTAAAGTAAAACACATGTTGGTGTTTTTTTTTAAATAAAAATTTGAAACAGATGGTCTCTTTTAAGACAAATATTTATTCCCCTGACATTTTTTTCACTTACATGTTTATATTTTTAAATATAGGCTTTATGCAGAGACCTTAGAGATGTCACGATAATAAAATCCATGTTGTTCATAATTGTCTATTTCCTAGAAATGCAGGCCTGGAAGCAACCTCAAGAAGCTATCTCTGGCATCCCCCTCCTCCAGGCAGGCCAATGGGCGACCAGCTGAGACCAACTGGTGTTTATTCTGTTTATCTTGGAGCTTTTTGAGGAAGGAAGCTGTAAACTCTTTCTTACTGAGCTCATGGAATCTCCATTGAGTTTTGAATCTGTTGGCTGGGTGAAGAGGTCTTGGATAGGGCAGAGTTCAGTGAAAAGCTGCTCATGGTGTTTTCTTCCCTGGTATCTCCCTTATTACAATCTTGTCAATCTCACCCTGTATTTGCAGTGCAGCCACTCTTTGTCACCAAATGCTTAACTTGTTCAGATCCCTTTGTACATGCCTCTGATAGGACCAGCTCTCATATTGACCAGGGCCATTAATTTTCCTTCCTCTGGAGTCAACAAAGGGAGAATCAATAGATGTGTGACAAGTTTGGAGGGAAAAGATGGACACTTTTTAGAAATCATTGATAAGAAGGAGCCAGGCCATAGCATGCAGTATATGAATTGAGGATCTTTCCTTTGTGAGAGGTAAAATGATTTTTCTGTATTCTTGTATTAGTTAGCTTTTGCTGTGTAACAAACCATTCTGAAAGCATACTGAGTTAAATTAATGGAGTATTTTTTCTCATTATTCTGTGGGTAGGCTAGGCATATTATCTGGTCTGGACTGGCTTGGCTAAGGATGGATGGTCTAGGATGGCCTCACACTCATGTTTGCTGGTTGGCTGTAGGTCAGATGGAGCAATGGAAAATGCATGGTCACATGTTTCTCATCTCCCAGCAGGATAGCCTGGGCTTATTCATATGGTAGTAGTTGCAAGGTTCTTAAGAGTAGGAAAGGAGAACAAGCACACCCCAATGTGCAGTGCTTTTCAAGTCTCTGTTTATGTTATGCTTGCTATTGCCTCATTAGCCAAAATAAATCACAAGGCCAGCCCAGAGTCAGGGCATGAGGCCATATTAAAAATCATGGAGGGAGAAGACCATCTTTGTAAGTTTATCACACTTCTGGAGGACAGAGAAGGGAGATGTCCCTTCTTGTTTTCTATAAAATCCAGATGGCCTGACAACTTTCTCAGAGAAAGAAAATCTTGCAGTTTCTCACCCAGATCTTATCTTCATTGACTATCTGACTCAGTGATATTATTTCATGCCAGTCTTTGGTGCAGCCTCCTTTTGACAAGAATTTGCATATCTCTGACTCTCAGCATATTGCTGGGCAGATAGCACATGCTCAATAAGTAGTTTTGAGTGAATTAATAAATTAATGAATGAATGAAACTGGGTTTCCTGAAGAAAACTTGATTTGAGTTCACATTAACTCCCTTTATTTGATTAGTATCTAAAGACATGAAATAACTGGCCTCCAATCATTCCAGGTGGGAAATGATCTGAAAACCTAGATCAGATCAAGTTCCTCTCTTGCGTAAACGTCTTCAAAGGCTTTCTATTATCTACACTAATAAAAGACAAAGATGCTAATTGATCGTACCTTCGCTACGCCCAGAAGCCAATCAGAGCAACTATATGCAAATTAACCCAACCAAGATGGCGGTTAATTTGCATATACCAGCTGGGAGCAAAGACCAAAGAAGGAAGCCAAGTGCTGCAGAAGGGAGCAAAGTAGAGGTGGCTGAGACAGGAACGAAGCCAAGGCGCGG